ACAGTGCAGAGCATGCTTGGGATTCTCTCTGTCTGTCCCTCCACTTGTTCTCTCTCTTTCTCTCTCTTTTAAAAATAAATAAACTGTAAAAAAAAAAAGAAGACTCTGAAAAAAAAAACAAGGAGAACAGATTCTTTGAAAAAAAAAAGAATCTTTCCTGTTTGCCTCTCGTTTTTCCCCCTATGATTGATTGTTTCTTAAATTCCACACATGAATGAAATTGTATGGCATTTGTCTTTTCTGACTGACTTATTTCACTTAGCATAATACTCTCTAGCTTTATCCACATCGTTGCAAATGGCAAGATTTAATTTTTTTGATGTTTTTATTTATTTTTGAGACAGCACGAGCTAGGGAGGGACAGAGAGAGGGGGAGACAGGAACCCAAGTGGGCTCTGTGCTGACAGCAGAGAACCTGATGCAGGGCTTGAACCCACAAGCCATGAGATCATGACTTGAGCCGAAGTCAGATGCTTAGCCAGCTGAGCCACCCAGATGCCCCAAGATTTAATTCTTTTTGATGGCTGAGTAATATTCCATTGTATGTATGTGTGTGTGTGTGTGTGTGTGTGTATGCACACACCCCCTCTTCTTTATCCATTCATCAGTCATTGGACATTTGGGCTCTTTCCATAATTTGGCTATTGTATATAATGCTGCTATAAACATCAGGGTGCATGTATCCCTTCGAGTTAGTATTTTTGTGTTCTTTGGGTAAATACCTAGTACTGTAATTGCTGGATCATAGGATAGTTCTATTTTTAACTTTTTGAGGAACCTCCATACTGTTTTCCAGACTGTCTGTACCAGTTTGCATTTCCATAAACAGAGCATGAGGGTTCCTCCCCATTCTCCATAGACTCACCAACACCTATTATTTCTTGTGTTGTTGATTTTAGCCAATCTTACAGGTGTGAAGTGGCATCTCATTGTAGTTTTGATATGTATTTCCCTGATGATGAGTGATGTTGAGCATTTTTCATGTGTCTGTTGGCCATCTGTGTGTCTTTGGGAAAATGTCTCTTCATGTCTTCTGTCCATTTTTATATTGGCTTATTTGTTTTGAGGGTGTTGAGTTTTACAAGTTCTTTATATATTTTGGGTACTAACCCTTTATTGGATATGTCATTTGCGAATATCTTCTCCCATTCTATAGGTTGCCTTTTAGTTTTGTTTTGTTTCCTTCACTGTGCTATAATGTTTACTTGAAAATCTTTGACATTTCTCTAACCTTGGTGCTAGCATCAATTGATTTAATTCAGTTTTGAGTTCTTCCTGGCTCTTGGTCTAATGAGTGGTTTTTTTTATTGAAACCTGGACATTTTCATATTATGTTTCTGAAATTCTGGATCTCATTTAAACCTCTGTTTCAGCTGGATTTTTCTGACACTGCTATGCCAGGGAAGAGAGTATGACCTTATTACTTCTAGGTGGAAGTAGATGCTCAGGTTCCCCACTTGGCCTCCATTGATCCTTAGGGTGGAGGATTCCTTGTTACTGCTGGGTGGAGATAGTATCCCACATGGTCTCCATTAACACCATGATAGAGGTGGCCTCATTATCTGCTGTGTGATGGTGAAAGTCCTGCCTCTTCATGAGTGTTTACAGACTTTGTTCCTCCTTTGTTCCACCTTCTCTGGGGGTAGAAATGTAGGTTCCACTGATATTTCAGGGGGTAGGTGAATGCCTTATTACCAGCCATTGGATATGAAAGTTTTGTCTCCCTATCTGGCCTTCTGATACTATGCAGGGTGCCTCCTTATGCCCTCACAAGGGGAAAAATTTAGGCTCCCCAGTTAGGTTTTTCTGGAGTGGGTGGGGCTGGGATCACAGGCTTTTCTGTGATGTTCAGCTGTATTAGAGCCGTTAATGTCTAAAGGCTTTCTGTCTTGCATTGCTGCCCTTTTTCTGGTCCTTTGTCTATAGAGAACAGTCTTTTCTTGGGGCTTTGGTTTGTCTATGCCTGTTGGCATCTGTAGCACCAACTCTGAGCTATATGAAGCAAATAAAAACCCAGGGAACTCACCACTGTATCCTTCCTTGGCCCCAAGGTCTCTAGCCAATCTTTCTTCTCTCTACCTTTCAGTCTCCTTATGTTTATGAATAGTGTCTTTTTTGAGTCTTATGTTTATTTTATGTCTAGGGTTTTAGTTGTACTTAGTAGAAGGAATAGGGATGAGTACATCTACTCCATCTCATAGAAGTGGAAGTTCCCTGGTTCATTTTTCTCACCATACAGAAACATAGATAATGGGGGGTGGGGAATCCCTACACTTAAATAGAAGGGACAAACCAAACCCTCGTAGCTGACATCAGAGTCACAAAGAGTCACAAAGGCATGTTGCATAACCAGGAAGAAGCCCAGAAGAAATCAGCCTCTATTCTTTTACAGGGGAAGCTAAGGTGGTCCAAACTACTGAGATACATTTTCTAGGAGTTTGCTCCTCAGAGTATAGTCCATGGACCAGCAGCATCAGCATCCCCTGGGAGCTTATGAGTAGTGTAGAATCTCATGCCCCATCCCGGACCAAATGAATCAGAATCTACATTTTAACAGTATCCCCATGTGACTTGTATGCACTTTAAAGATTGAGAAACACTGCTTACTCATTTGTCGGTATCATCTTAACATCTTACATTTGATATTTTAGTTCAACTGAAAGAATTACTACTTCTGCCAATCATAAAATAGTTTATAAACAAGACTTGGGATCTAAAGGAAATGAAAGGTAAAGTTTCATTGTCTGATAGAATTTAGAAGTGAAATTAATGATCTTTGAAAAAGGTTATTTATTCCATTAATTTGTAAACTGAGGCATTGAAAGATTAAATATCTAACACAAGCTCATACAACTATGTAACAGCAAAGCTGAGAATTGAACCCAGTGCACTTTCTTCATAGCACAATGGTCCTTGGGTTTTTCTTCATCTAAATCTTTCTTCTTCCAAGCTTCACATCTCCTTGAAACTGGAATTGAGGTTCAGGCAAATATATCTTTGATTCAGGCTTTGATATTGTGTCTCTTCTGGATTTCTGTAGTTTGTTTCCTAAGTGGTCTGTAACTCTTTCTTCTCTTCTCCAGTTTTACCTGTTCATCTCTATTAAATATATCTCCCTAAAACACAAACTTTACTATATCAGTGCTTTTCCCCCAAATCTCTTTTTCCCTCTAGATTTCTAAAAGCTCTGCATTTTCTAAATCCTTACCCTCACTCTAAAGGCTACCTCTAATTTCATCCACCACCACCCCCCCCAAAAAAGACAGTGTTTTCCCCCACACAAATGTAGTCAATATTCTCCTTATTATCAATCTTTACCTCTTCTCCCTCTTCCTCTTAGAACAAAGCAAGATCTTTCCTCAAGACATGTCTGTCACTAATTGTTTTTGTGGAGGTCTCATCTTCTCCCATTCCCTTTTTCTCAGCAGAAGAAGGAACTAAATTACCTGAATCCTTGCTTCCTTTGTACTTGTTACACACCATCTTCTTGCTGCTTCTCTTCACTTGTAATCTGTGTCTTCTATCTCTTAGTTATCAGTGTTGTCATGAACTAGCACTTTCTGAGCCAGTTTTTCCTTCCTTGGTAACTTCAGTTTATTATCCTAAGTGACTTTGGCATCCCTGTTATCAATTCATCCACTTCACAGTTTTTTGCCCTTCTTTAGCCTCTTTCTGTACCCCATATAAGGTCCACTTCCAAGATTGTTAACTCAAAGTTTTTCGAGTTACTATAATCTCTCTTACTTCTCCATACTTGTTCTTTGCTGTCACTTATACTTCAAATAACTCAACCCTTCCCATTCTCTTATAGTCCAGTCTAGCCACATTCCTTTTTTTCCCTTTCCTTTTTTCTTTCTTTCTTTCTTTCTTTCTTTCTTTCTTTCTTTCTTTCATTTGGTTATACCTCCCGTTTAATTTTTTTCTAGCCTAATGACCCACCACTATCAGTTCTCCTGATACTAAGAAGCAGAATCACTAGAGAAAAGCACAGAACTAATACAAATTTATGTTGAGTTTTTTTTTAACGTTTATTTATTTTTGAGATAGAGACAGAGCATGAACGGGGGAAGGTCAGAGAGAGGGAGACATAGAATCCGAAACAGGCTCCAGGCTCCGAGCTGTCAGCACAGAGTCCGACGCGGGGCTCGAACTCATGAGCCGTGAGATCATGACCTGAGATGAAGTCAGACATTCAACCTCCTGAGCCATCCAGGAGCCCCACAAGTTATCATCTTTTACCTCAGCTACTGTAGGAAACTTTTAGCTGGTTTCCTTGCATCTCTTGCTTTCATTTATACCTTTCTCCATCCAGCAACCAGAATGATCTTTTAAATTTTCAAATATGTGACCTTGCTTAATCTTCTGTGGTTTCCCATTGCTTTTAAAGACCAAAATTCTAGGGGTGCCTGGATGGCTCTGTTGGTTGAGCGTCAGCTCAGGTCATTATCTCATGGTCTGTGGGTTCAAGCCCTGTATTGGGGTCTGTGCTAACGGTTCAGAGCCTGGAGCCTGCTTCAGATTCTGTGTCTCCCTCCCTCTCTGCCCCTCCCCCACTCATGCTCTGTCTCTCTCTCAAAAATAAGGAAACATTTTTTAAAAATTTTAAAAACTGCTTCTTGACACACTTCTCTGAAAATTAGGGGTAGGTGTTGGTGAGATAATCGACAGAGGACAGCACCAAGGGAAGCCCCAGACAGGATAGAGGCTTTTCTCCTGCTTAGAGGAGACCAGGAATGAGTCCAACCAGGCCTCAGAGCTTTTTCAATTTATGTGTCCCTTCATGAAGTCGTCTTGCCTTATGTACAGCTGACAAACTTTTAAGATGCTCTTCTCCTACCTTCAAGGAATACAGGATTGTTCATGGAAGCTGTGGCTCCTTCTTCACGTTAGCAGGGCACCCATTGTTTGCTTAATAATAACACTGATACAGTAACACTGATACAGTCAGTACTACAATGACTGTGACAGTGATAACTAAACCCACTGTTCTTGGATTTCAGGAAGACTACCCAGAATCAGAGACTCTCTGGCTGATGGTCAAGTCCTGGAATATTGGGATATATATGTACGGCGGAAAGAAGTATGTATCTGCAGAAAAGTGGTGTGACCTTTCACTGCGTTTTCTTGACCACCTTGGCTCCCTCAAGAGAAACTATGAAACTCAGGTGAGGAGGGAGAGAGTAGGGGTGGATGATATGACTCGGGGAGCAGAGAGGCTATCTGGGCACTCAGTAAAGACTCAGTCCTACCTTCCTTGGCTGGGAAAGAATCTTGATCATTGTTCCTCACAGTGGTTCCATAGAACGGCAAGAGTTAGGGGACTGTAAACAGTAATGTTTTAGAGTGGAAACCAGGAAGGGCGATGAACAGAGGAGAACTTAAGGATAGCAAATGGAATCTAAATAAGAAGAATGCCGAGACAAGGGCGCCTAGGTGGCTCAGTGGGTTGAGTGTCTGACTTTGGCTCAAGTCATGATCTCACGGGTTCGTGTGTTTAAGCCCCACATCACGCTCTGTGCTGACAGCATGGAGCCCACTTCGGATCCTCTGTCCCCTTCTCTCTCTGCCCCTCCCCCACTTGGGCATGTGTGTTCTCTCTCTCATTCCCCCCACCTCTTCCTCAAAAATAAACATTAAAAAAATTAGAAGAATGCCAAGACAGAGCTCTGGAAAGATGCATCAGTGTCAATGCCAGTGCAAGTAGGGAAGGACTGAGCACCATGCAAAAGATCACTGTTTACGAAAGTATTTTCTCTAGAAACTAGTTGCAGACTTTTAGGCCATTAGGTAACCAGGAGAGGCTTGGTGGGGGAAAAAAAGTCTTGCTACCAAATAAGGGCAGAAGATATTTTATGTTTTAAGTACCACCTCCCTTACAATAGCTGCCTGTCCCTAGCAAATGTACCTAGTGCTATGGGGTGCTTCTTCCCTAAGAGAGTACTATATTTTTTCCGCAAAGGGGTTCCTCAGAACTCAGAAGGTCAAGGTTAGACTTCCGTGCTATCACCTTGCGTCTCTCAGGAAATCTATTTGCTGTTCTCTTTCCTAGATGAATACTCTGTATGGCGAGCTGGTGGAAGCATTAAGCAAAAGCAAGGGCTCAGTTTTCAACGAAGAGTGAGAAGAGCTGGAATAAGGCATCTGAGCAGGCAAGCTGACATCTACTTGAAGATGTTGAATACCTAAATTCTTGCCAGACTTTATCTTGAGTTCTTGTTTCTGTTTTTTCAAACCCTGTTTTCTTGTTGTTACATGAAATTTTCTGAATTAAAGCATTTTGACTGTTACTGCTGTGGCCAGCTCATTTCTGGTGGACAAATTTTCCAAAGTACCAAGGATGTTATTATATGTTGAAATAGCCATATGAAGTAAGAGTATTCATGGCCCATGTGAGCAAAAACATTCTAGTCCAACACAAGTTGCATTCTATTCCAGAAGTGCTTGAATTCCCACTACCTGAAGGTAACAGAGAATCGCGGACTATTCAATAGAAGAACTTAGTCGTCAGTGGGCCCAGAATTGATCAGATTCATAAACTTGCTCTATGACACCCTTGAGAATGGGTCATCCAGCCTCTATCGGAGCATATCGTGTGACAGGAACGCCCACAATAGCTCAATCCAACTTTTTTGCTAATAGGGAGACAGAAATTTGTCTCCCTATAACAAGTCTGCTTTCTCTGCCCCAGATACACTTTGGAGAACTGAAGACAGAAGTCAGTCTCCTCCCTGTCTTCCTGGCTTTTTCTTCTTCTGCTTGAACATTCCCAGACCCCTCCACTGTTCCTCATATGATACGGGCTCGTACCTTCCAAGAGCCACATCCCACGTTCCAGTAAGGTCTGACCCACACAGAATTCAGCAGCCTCATTCTGGCAGGACTTGAATTAGTGTACTATAAGATCACATTGGCTTTTTCCCCCAGTTGATCTGGATGAACATCTTTAGACTTTTGATTTCGAAACAGTTTCTTTTTTTTTTTTTTTTTTTTTTTTTTTTTTTTTTCAACGTTTATTTATTTTTGGGACAGAGAGAGACAGAGCATGAACGGGGGAGGGGCAGAGAGAGAAGGAGACACAGAATCGGAAACAGGCTCCAGGCTCTGAGCCATCAGCCCAGGCTCAGAGCCTGACGCGGGGCTCGAACTCACGGACCGCGAGATCGTGACCTGGCTGAAGTCGGACGCTTAACCGACTACGCCACCCAGGCGCCCCTCGAAACAGTTTCATACTTACAGAAAAGGTGCAGAGAAGCACAAAGAACTGCTATATACCCTTCGCCCAGCCTCCCTATATGTTGACATTTTACCACATTGCTTTTATCATTCTCTCTTTGTGTGTTTCTTTCTAAACCATTTGAGATTAATTTGCAGACATCTTGCTCTGTTACCCCTTAATACCTCAGTGCATATTTCCTAAAAACAAGGACACTCTGATACAGGACCACAGTTAATCCATCAAAATTAGGAAATTAACAAGGATGCAATTCTAACATCTAATCTACAGACCTCATTCAAATTTCACCAATTGTCCTAATAAAGCCCTCCCTGAGTTTAGAATCATAAGTTGCATTTAGTGGTCATGTCTCTTTCATCTCCTACAAATGGAAATAGGTTCTCAGTCTTTCCTTGCTTTTCATGACCTTGACATTTTTAAAGAGTACAGGCTAATTACTTTGTCGCGTGTACTGCAGCCAGGGTCTGTTTGATGTTTCCGAATGATTAGATTCCATTTACGTATTTTGGGAAGGCCTGCAACAAAATTGGTATGTTCTTCCTGGTGCATTGTACCAACAGGCACACAATGTCAATTTGTCCCATCACTGGTTAAGGTTAAGATGGCATCAACCAGGTACTTAGTAATTAAAAAGTAATTATGAAGTGCTTTGTGGAAGATAATTTGAGACCAGATTTTCCATTCCTCATTAAGCTTCCACTTACTAGTTTTAGCATCCATTGATGATTCTTGCCTGAATCCATTTTTACTGTGATGGTTGCTAAATGTTGATTTTTTAATTTCCATCATTCCCACTTCATTTATTAGTTGGCGTCTGTTAGGTGGAACATGTTCTTCTCCCCCATTTATTTATTCATATTTTTAAAACAATTTTTTGTAAGTAGGCTCCACACTCAATGCGGGCTGGAACTCACAACCCTGAGATCAAGACCTCAGCTGAGATTGAGTGGGACGCTTAACTGACAGAGCCATCCAGGCGCCCCTAAAAATGTTTACAGACTGATGGATTTCTGGTTTACTCAGTGAGTTATAATCCACTATATCTTTTTTTTTTTTTTTTTTAAGAAACTGTTTCTTTTCTGTCCACCTATTTCCATTTCATTTGCCTTTGTGGAAGAGTAGCTTAAGGCCACTCAGTGGTTGTTCCTCCCCATTCACTGGTCTGAGCCATGGGAGCTGCGGACCAGTCTTCAGCAGAGAACCACTGAATAGGCACAGAGGGCACCTGCGTGCCTTCAGACCAGTCTGTGACTTCAGGTTAAGTAGCAGTGGATTCAGGAGCTGGAGCAGTCCATTCACCCTCATGTTCCACCTTGGTCACAGCCTTTTCAGCAGCGGCCTGCTCTTCCTTCTCAATCTCTTCAGGATCTCTCTAGAGGTAGAGATCAGGCATGACCTCCCATTGGTGTTCATGGGAAATGGTGCCACGCATGTGCAGAACTTCTAGATCATCATTTTGCTCAAAGCTGGCTCCTATGTCCTTTTGACATGTCCCTATCAGTTTTTGAACACTTCCTTTCTTTGTGACACAGTAAGATGTTCCAGCCTCATGTTATAGTTTCCCTGCCCCAGCACTGGAATCAGTAATTTCTCCAAGAATCCCTGGTTCCTTTTTAATTGAATGGTAGCTAGTGCCCAAGATCTGAGGCACTCATTACCGGGACACCATTGTTTCTAGGTCCTCTCAGTGGACAGAGCTAGGAAATAGTAGCCAGAGATATTTTTTTTAAGGTTACTTACTTATTTTGAGAGAAAGAGAGAGGCAGGGAGGGGCAGAGAGAGAGGAAGAGAGAGAGAATCTAAGCAGGCTCCACACTGTCAGCACAGAGCCCGATGCAGGGCTCATACTCACCAACCATGAGATCATGACCTGAGCCAAAATCAAGTCTACTGCTCAACCGACTGGGCCACCAAGGCACCCCCAGAGATCTTTTTTTATGTAATCTGCACAGCCAATGTGGTCAAACTCATAACCTCAAGATAAAGGGTCACACACTTTCCCAGCCAGGTGCCCCCCCAGTGCTAGGAAATAAAATGTGTGTATGTGTATGTACATCTACACATGTACATGCATATCTATAGACAGATATAGATACAGTTGACCCTAGATAGGGATGCCAATCTCTGCGCAGTCAAAAATGCACATACAATTTTTGACTCCTCAAAACCTAACTACAAATAGCCTACTGTTGACTGGAAGCCTTACCAATAACAGAAACAGTCGACCAACATATAATGTGTATGTGTATTATACACTGCATTCTTAAGCTAGAAAAAAGAAAAATTTATTAAGAAAATCATAGGGAAAATACATTCACAGTACTGCATCGACAAAAAAAAAAAAACCTATGTGTACATACGTATGTTAAAACTGAGTTCAGACCAATACCTCCATTTTCAATCCAACACGATACTGTTCTAGCCATCTTCCCCTTCCGTATTTGCAACTGTCTCTTCCCACATTGAGAAACCTGGCTCCTGGAGAGAGGGAAGATGGCGGCGTAGGAGGACGCTGGGCT